AACCAATTAACAAGATCATCATAATTCTTTAACATGTTTCTTTTTGTCACACTATTCTCCTCACCTTGACTGTTTCACTGCCCTTTTCAAAAACTTGAGTATGCTTCTATTATATTAAATATACCAGCAAACAAACTTCTTGCCAAGTAATCTATGATTTCAGAAAATAAGAGCATTTTAGTTTTAGAAAGGAGCTCTGGCACCACAGTGCCTAAGATATCTGACTGCTAACCGGTAGATAGGGGGTTCAAACCCACCAGCCACTCCATGGAAGGAATATGAAGCAATCTGCTTCCATAAAGATTTACAGCCTTGGAAACCCAAGGAGGGTCACTATAAGTCAGAATTGACTGGAGGGCAATGTGTTTGTTTGTTTTTTAATTTTAGAATTCAGTGCCTTCTCAGCACGAGGATTATTTTCACCAAAACCCCTTCCTCTGCAAGTGAAATTTTCCTTTCCTGTTTTAACTAAGAGCAGGTTCTGGCTTGAAGGGGGTTTCCTGGAAGTTTCCCTCTGGGATTCCATGTATATCCAGAGTTCCAGGGACATGCCAATCTCCATATCTGGATTTGGAACCTAAAGCCAATTGGAGAGTCTTAGTGATGATGCAGGTGTCAGTAGGCTTGATAAATCCCCTGCTGCTTTGGGTTACAGGAACTAGTATGAATCTGAATCTCCTTGTAGTATTTTCTAGAAGAATGCCCTTTATTCACATTGTACTTGTTATGAGAATATAAACCTACTTTTCATACTTACAGTATGAAAATATGTATGTCAAATTAGTTACCACCATGTTGAAATAATTTGGGAAACATGCTTTCAAATTCTGAGTATGTTTAAAAAGATTTTTCCTCCTTAGGTACCATTCTTACCATTTTTACCAGCATTCAGCATCTTCGTGAACATTTACTTGATGGTCCAATTGAGTGGAGACACTTGGATCCGATTTAGCATTTGGATGGCACTTGGTAGGTTTCAGTGTTTTTTAATTTTGGCTCTCTTCTTTCCTATTTCATGTACTATGGTTAGAGAAATGCACCCCTTCCCCTTCCTGGAAACAAGGGCTCTTTTCAGTTTCTCTCTCTCCCAGTTCTTACAAGTAAAGAGACACTAACATCTGAGTATCTACTTTTCCAGATGTTATCACATACATTTTCTTATTCAGTCCTTCCTAACAACCCTTGCATAGGTTCTGTTTTCTCTAGTTTATGGATGAGAATAATGAAGGCAAAAAAAAAGTCAAATAATTTAATGTGTGAATTGCAGTCCTAGACTCTGATTCCAAACTGATACCAAAGAACTGATTCCAACTTTCTAGTGTACTAGCGGATTACTGGATACCTTTTGAATAATCTCTTTTCTGAAATCTAAATTTCTTATGATTGGGATACAGCATCGAGTAACTTGACTAAGCTTATTTATATCTATAAAACATTCTGGTTTTCCTTATGACTTATCCAGATTGCTATGGGAAATTTCAGTTAGAATTTAGGAGTTTCGGTTTGCTGTTAACTAAAGAACAGACAGCCTCAAAAATGTGAGATAAAAGCTGAGAGTGAAGAGGTGGGAAGTGAGACCCTAATCTGCATTGGTTTGGGTGGCCTGAGGAGTATGAGAGTTTTTGCTTTTTGACAAACCCATTGTTAGTTCAATAAAAATGAATCTTAGTCTCCTTATTCACTTTGATGTTATGTGTGTAGGTGTTTGTTTTGGCTCTAAATTAATCTGATTTCAGTTCTGAGGCACCAACCCAGTTTGGCTGATGGCAGATTTAACCTCAGTCACTTTTGCCCACTCTCCCACAACCACATTGGAGTTGTGTTCAAGTTTTGGGGATCTCATGCCAGACAATTAGGGGTTATGTGCTTTGGATCAAAGGTAATCTGTCCACATGGGTTACTCTAGGTTGTTTCCCATTTCTGTAACTATGGGGACTTCTGCTCAGGTGGCTCTGCCATTTCAGAGCCAGGATCTTGACAGGAATCTCCTGTCAGTCTGGTCTGCCTTCAGGAATGTACCAGGCAGCCATTCTTTTTGGGGTCCTGCACCTCCCCAGGGGATGCCAGGGAGCTGAGCCCAAATCCCCAGGGCACAAGGACTGTAGAAATCATTCCCCTACTCTGAGCCCAGAAGAATCTCTTTGTTATATGTGGAAGAGAGCTTCTCCACCCTCTTTGTTATATGTGGAGGAGAGCTTCTCCATCCTCGTTGCCTTTTCACAAACCATCTGTTGCTTGCCTCAGATCTTAGCTCACCCAAGTTAAATGTACTTGGTTAAAAGCATGATATAGAGCTAGACTGTGTTTGAATCCGCCCCTGCCATATGTTAGCTGTCTGACCTTGGCCAAGTTACTCACCATTTTTTGTGCCTCAGTTTCTTTGTAAAATGGTGATAATGATAGTATCTTTATTTGAAAGCAGGGAGGCTAGATCTTCAAACCTTCCCAGGAGATGAGAAAAAATTAGAATTATCCTAATAATTGGACATACCTAAATGCTAATAGGCAGACTGATTCCCATTATTTTAAATGGGAAAAAAAAATACAATTCATTTCATGTCAACTCAAAATCTTAAGTAATTTCCTAAAACCCAGCAAAATACCTATCACTGAGTGATAAACTGTCTTGTGTGGATACTTGAAACATTGTCTCCTGATCCCAATCAGCATAACTGTTAATAAATAGTTGCTTTCTACACAGTTAACACATATAAGACATGTCCATGTTCCTTTTGTTAATACTGGGCATACTTTCCTAAACATCTGACTGACTCTGATAATGCTCCATTTCTTTGGTATGTAATTGAGACTTTATCCCACATAACCTTTTGTTTAAAATGTTATATTGAGTTTTGAGAACATAAATATAATTTTTTTTCCCTTATAAGCATTGTCTGGAACCCATTTATTAAAAGATACATTCTGTAGAATCTAGGTATTAAAACCGATGAGGCATATTCTATTGGGAACAAGGTCAAAAAGACCTTCTGTGTGGTAGCCTGTATTTGTACCCCATCCTTCTAAGATAGCACAGCAAGAGGAGAGAAAAAGTCTTCACTAATTTCTATATTAAGTTTTCCATATTAAAAGTAGCCTGACACACCTAAAACATTGATTTATTTTTTTCCCCTTCCAAAAGGTTTCCTGATTTACTTTGCTTATGGCATTAGACACAGCTTGGAGGGTAGTTTGAGAGAAGAAGATGATGAAGATGATTATTCAGGCAACATCAGTGCAGCAGCAGAAGAAAAATCTGCCATGCAAGCAAATGAGCAGCACCAAAGAAACCTTAGTTTACCTTATCTATTCCATGAGAAGATAAGTGAATGCTAATGCTTGTAGGAGCAGAGCTGGTCCATGGTCTTAACCTACATATCCTTCATGGAATAAACCATGATAGGATGTTGCCATCATGCTAGGTTGTCATGGGTGTGCTACAGACACAATTCACCCTAATTTATACTCATCCTTCGGGACAGCACCTCCTCATGTGGTGAATTATGTGCCTGGGCTAACATTCATGTGAGCTTTCTCCTCAGTGATGAATATCCCCCAGTGTGAGTGTGAGTGTGAGTGTGGGTATGTATGTGTTGGGGAATGTGAATGTTGAAAATTGTTGGTGTTTTACTATTATTGCATTGCATTTTCCAGTGTTGTCATTATTTGGTAGCATATACTGCACATACTGAAATGGAGGTAAATCACTGAATAGAAGTGTTTTATATGTATCTTTATTTAGAACATGCTGAAAATGTAATTACCCATCATGGTGTCTATCACTTACCAGGGGTAAGAAGAGAGGATAAGAAAGAGCCTTTTCTATAAGTTGTAAATGCCAGCAGTAGGTTTAATACAGGTCTCCCCTCCCCCATGAAGTATGACAGTTTGCTAAAGCTTTAGCCAGTTAGAGTGTTTGTTTCTGCAGTACTACACAGCACAGGAGTGGCATCTAAGTCACTGGTGGCACCCCTGTCTTGAGAGCATTAGTCACCTGCTATGAATGATGTCACCCCTCACACCAATCAGGGGCTTGAGGGAGTAGTGTGTTCTACTTAGGTCCCTTCATGCTAGAAAGTGAAGGTGCTCTCACAGCCAGAAAGCTCATGTAAGATCAGAGTTAAACACATGCTTTGATAATTAGATACCAACCCTCCTTGTTTTCAAATAAGCCAGTCAAGTCTCCCAGATCACATAAATGGTGCAATGATTAATACTACTTTCTGTATTTAATCACTAACCACACTTAAGTTTTTCTAACCTCTTCAGGCGCATAAGTCACTCTTTTTTTTCTATGATTATTTTGTTTTGCCCCAGATATGTGAAGATATAATAACAAATCCTATCTTTATTACATGAAAAAGAGGGGGAAAAAAGGGTACAAGAAGAGAAAATTCCCCTATTCTGGTATTAAAGTGCCTATTCAGATATTAAAGGACATTTGGCCCAATCTGAGGAGTTCATATCTAATTTACCTCTGATGTTTCTTTTGGAAACAGTTAGAAATGTTCTCCCTTCAAATGAATTATTTAGTACTTTTAATTTGTTTTCAAGTGACTACATTAAAGCTATTAATTAATAATACAAATACCAGTGTTCTACAATAACCCATCAATGGTTAGGAAAAAAAAAAGTTGTGGTCGAATGCATGATTATATTAAACTTTAATCTGAAATTTTAATCCAATTGTATTAAAACTATAAACACATTTTTTAAAAAAATGTGTAAGAGTCTTTGCTGTATTTTACTTTATAGGGTTCTCTGGCAGTGAACTGTTTGGCTACAGTGTGTTTTGCTTCTCATGAGACATTTTTCTTCCAAATAATTAAATGGTTAGCTAAATGAAATGAGAAGCTAGAGATTTACATATGGGTTACATTCCCAGGATACTTGTGGTGAACATTACCATGCACAGCAGCTGACCAGATTAATTCAAAGACAAGGAAAGCATTCATTTTTCTCACAACTTTTCCAAGAGGTCAGTTATTTTATTGATGCCATTAATAAACAAGTTGTGGTTGATTTGTTTAACCAAGAGTTTATTGTGATTAAATATCAAATAAACAGGTAGAAAAGCCTGTGTTTCTGGCTGCCATATTGTAGCATCCCTGACACAGAAATCAATACTGACATTCCACAATTTCCAGGATGCACATGGTAAAAGCTAAAGCTTAGAATTCTCTTTCAAACTGCATGTTTTACTGGAGAGAACAAGTCAATGAGAAAGTGGTCAACAGTTTTTGTAAAGGCTATAGCACAGTCATAAATCCTCCCTGTTGTAGCAGTACACTGAGAACTCCTTTTATTCTATAGTTAAATCTAAAATAGTCCTTCACACAGGGAACATGAGGAATTTGATATATGAATATTTAACTATCTTATTGTAACAAAATCAAGAAATTTGTTTAGAACATGATAGGCAGCTAAAACTATTATGCCCACTCTGTTTCATTAGGAGCAGGGTTTAGTTAAAAGTGATTTTTCCGCATGGAAACACTTTACAAACACAAATATCTATGATAAAATACTTTGCCAGTGACTCTGCTTTTTTTTCCCCTATGAAGACTCAAATGGGTATGTGTGATTGAATGTGTATGTGAACACATTTACATGTTTGTATGGAGATGTGTGTGTGGGGGGGATGTGTACACACACACACACACACACACATATGATTTGTCAATGTATAAGTAAGTTGGGTCTATGATGGGCTTTAGAAATGATATTTTTATGTGGATCAAAAACCCAACTGATGTGGAGAATAATTAATGTTTTTTATTCATAGATAGCCTATATAAAATGTTTAGGTTTTAAACTATTTTGAGATATACAACAATTTTTTATGTATAATATTTTCTATAGATTGTTTAAGAAAGAGATATTTATAATATTTCTAATATGAAATCACTTAACTCTAGGACATCATAACAGGTGCTTTCTAGTCTGAAATATAGTGGGGATAGAGGGCCTTAGAGTATTCCTTCCTATTTGTTTCTGTTGCACCTTTTCTGACGTATCTGTCTTGGTGTGTGTTTATTAGAAAAATCCAATATTATCAAGTGTTTTACCACCTCTTTTCCTATGTTTGAATTCATAACCTTTTAGACAAAATGTTCTTTTCATTTAGATAGGATTACCAAAATGTTTTGTATATCTCTGACTAGAAATCAATCAAACTTATATAATCTTCTCCAGAAATGAAAACAGAAGGTGGTAGGTGCCTCCGGTGCAGAGGGCATGCACCCGCCTGGACCCTGTGTCATGGCAATGGCCGCTGAGCCAGCTGGACCTGGCGTTTTAATTTTTCTTGATGCTCTTAATTGTCACTGAGTAAAAGCAACTTAAAATTTCTTCTTTAGAATAGCCATGTAGCTCTCTTAGCATTTTCAGTGAAAAAGTCTCAAAATAACACCTTTATTTTATACTCTTGAGAAAAAGACGGCACAATTTGTGAGTTACCACATAAAGGCAATGTCAGCCCTACATTTCGGAAGGTAACTATGGAAATTCAAGTTTAAAAACTGAGTTTTGATACATGCTGAGACACAGATTATTGCTTAATAGCATTTTCCCAAAAAAATAAACATCAAGCAAACTAAGGCTAAAACATTATTTGACATATATGTTACAGAAAAATTAATATTGATATATAAAATTTCACTATTACACACCATACCTGCTGACAAGCTGAGTCTGATTTTCAGTGACTCTATAGGGCAGAGTAGAACTGCCCCATAGGGTTTCCAAGCTGTAATCTTTAAACAGACTGTAAACAGACTCCCACATCTTTTTCCTGAGAAGTGGCTGGTGGGTTCAAATTGCTGACCTTTTGCTTAGTAGTTGAGCATTTAACCACTATGCCACCATAGTTGAAAAAAATACCGATTTCAGAATTATTTGCCTTGAGAAGAAGTAAGCCTCCCAATTGTTCTGCATAATGAATTTTCAAAGACCCTTTATATATATGTATTTTAAATATTAGTCAAAATATTTTCTAAGTCCTGGGTTTTTGTGGGTAGTTGTTAATATTTTTTAAATAAAGCATTTTGAATTAGAATCTGTTTTTACCAAATTCTTTCCTAAGTTTATTTGAATGCTGGGAATAGAGAATAAGAAAAAATAATCTCCTTGTAATACTGATGATGACAGAGGGAGCAGATTAGCCTTATCTTCTTTCCTCTTAAATCAGGTAACATCACTTCAGTGATATTCAGAGATTTAAACCTTACGATAAAGCTGTGCCAAGATCCCAACTCTCTTTCCCCTGTGGTACTGCTTGTGGGAGCCTGATTCTTCCCGATAAAGCTTCAGGTCACTTTTAGTGAACACTAAAAAGCAGTTTTCACAGAACTTTAAGGGGTTGTATTTAGAATGTACATCACAGATTATTAAAATTCACACAATTATGTGATATTTAAAAAATATTTTGCAAATCGACTATTCTTTATGCTAGTGCCAAAACAGAGCATTTATCTATACACTTTTTACTTTGTAAAGTTCTCTAACGTGCCCTAAAATATCAAGGGAAAAAGTACCTAAGTTCATGTAGTAAATAATGCCAGCAAAGGTCGTATTTTTAAGCCATGTAGATGTCAAAATAAGGTTGTTTGATGTTGTTCAGCTGAGGTGTTTTTTTTTTTTTTTTTTTTCCCCTTGTATAATCTATTTAAGCATTTGAAAAAAGGCTTTCTGGACTCTGAGATACCTGATCTGTTACTGTGGTTGTTGGTTTAGTTGTTAGTTTTTGTAACATTCATGTTTATATGTATGCAGTTTAGTTTTACTGGTGACATATGTATTTTATTATGGCTTAATCCAATTGGCAGCCCTATTTTCTGGGAGGATTGTATTTAGCTGTTACTCACCATGACTGAAGCCACTGTAAAAAATCTGTGGGCCTTAAAGAATCTTCCTGACCAATGACAGCCCTGAACGTATCAGCACCAGGACCCCAGGCTGGTTCCAGGGACAAGCAGCCTGCCAACTGTGAGCTTCTATAGCTACACCTGTTTGATGGAGTCTTGGGATAAAGGGGGAGGATATGAAGTGAAAGACTTCAAATGGAAGTAAGGCAGTTTGGGGTCCTTAATTTCATTTCTGAATCCCAAGAGTACATCAAGGTGAAAGTAAAGGACCAAGGAACATCTCTGACTCATGTAAGTGGTTGCTGCTTCCTGGAACTGGCACTGTAGGGCCTGACCTGCTGCAGTCCTTGCACACACACTGATGGCTTTAGGGTACAAGTGCGGACCCAGCTGGTAAAGGGCCTTATATTGTCAGTGAGTCAGGTTTCACTTTTCATCTTGTAGTGTCCACTAGGAGTACCCAAGTGTATT